AAGCAGTGACAACCACAGAGGAGGCTGAGATGTTTCAGAGACATGAGTTGTGAGATGGATAGAAGTTTGAAAGAAGAAACTGGAAAGACATGTTTGGTAACAGGGAGAAATCAAGATTGTGGGGTGCTATAAAGCTGCCTAAAAAAGGAGGGATTAATAAAAGAATTGGAAGGTAGCAGAGTCAGAGTTGCTGATGTGTTTAGTTATATTCTCTAGGAAAAGGGTCAGTGCAGAGGATGAGAGAGACAAGCAGTAAAATAACCCCATGGAAGGGAATTTAGGACTGATCCCTTAAAGGGGGAAGAGGGAGAGGATAAATGGATATAATTTAGCAGGAGAAGACAAATTTAACCGGAGAGGAACAGCTTTGACACAGTATTGCCCTGGTTTTGGCTGGGAAGAGAGTTAATTGTCTTTCAAGTGACTGGTACAGGGCTGTGTTTGGGTTTAGTGGGATAATAATATTGAGGAGGTGGGGTGGAGAGAAGCACTCCCAGCATCCTTGAAGGGTGTTAGTCAAAGGGTGAAGGAAATATTCTTTAGCTTTTTTAATGGATTTTTGCTAGGATGTCAAAAGTGGTGACAGTGGTGGCTTTCGTGGCCTGGGCTTATAGGCTCCTCTTCCTTGGATGACAGCATCTGGTAAAATTCATCACCAAGAAACCTGGTGGGAAGTGCCTGAAAAAAACAACAATAAAAAGTGCTGTTCCATCAAACATGTAACTTTTTGAAGGAAGCATGTTGTTTTGATACCAGGAGGAAGTAACTAGGACATGATGAAATATTGTGCTGAGGTGTCATTTTAAAAAGTGACTCTTGTTTTTAAATAAATTGCATCTGGAGTTTTTTAAAAATCAAAATCAGACACAAACATTTTTCTTTTAATCTCTCTGTTCTGAAGGATTTAGAGTGTTTTCTGAAATGAAAGAGGGTGGTGAATTTCCCAGTGCTGTGACCTGTCTTGGAATTGGTGTTCTGGGGAAGGAGAAGGTGTGACTTCTCCCACTGAAGTAAGCAGTGGCTTCCCCGTGCCCTGGGCTCGGGAGTGGCAATCCCATGGGAGCTGCTGCCCAGGAGGCTCCCTTCTCTTTGGTTCAGTTGGTGTGTCCTCCATGTGTCGCTGGGCATGGGAGGGACAGTCGTGGACACAGGTTGGAAAACACACGGATGTGTGGAAAGCCCCTCCTTGACCCTTTCAGGGACAAGTGTCCTGGTGTAAATACTTTGCTGTTGTCCTTTCTTTCATGATGCAAATTCATTCACAATCTTAACACTTTTTCCTAAGATTGATCCAACAGAACTGGGTAATCTTTATTTACTTGTAATTAAAGAGGGATAACTTGTAGCTGGACATCTGTTGGTCAGCAGTGAAGCTGGAATGCTGCTTGGGGGCTGCAGTTGATGTGCTCAGAGGAGGTTCTGGAGCACGGGCACTTCTGGTAGGTGTTGGTACAAACAGCAAACCCTTGGGCTGCTGCTGTGGCTGACTGAAGGCTCCAGCAAAGCAAAGGGAGCGTGCAGGCAGCATGGAAACACCGCCTGCAAAGGGTGCTCAGAGCAACCCTGGAGTGCTGAGTAACGTGTTTATCCTGGAGCAGGAACAGCAATGAGTGGGGTTTCTGGCTGATTATTAGTATGAGCAACCTTTAAGCTGGGCATTTTTATTTGGAGTTTTGTGTGGAGCTGGAAAATCTGTTGGAATATCTTTTCCTTTTGGTGAAGCCTGTTCTCCAAGTCAACTCCTGATTGCTGAGTTCTTGAAATGTTTCCTCAAAAAGGGGTGCTGCTTTGGATAAATGGTTATATTTTGGGGGCAAAGGGAAACTGTTGCCTATATCTGCCTTGTTCAATGGGACTGACACCTGGGCACGCTGAGTTTCTGTGCCTTCCACACCAGGGTATTGCTTGCTGGGACTTTATCGTCATCTCTCATTCTGGGCTCCTTCCTCCCCACAAAAATCTCAAGGTTCCTTTTTCTGTTTCAGGACAGGTCTTTGATTTTGAAGTTTTGTCAGTGCAAGGCTTTCACGTTGCAGCTTTCAGCATTTAGTGCTAAAATTACACTATGTTTTACCATTTTCAGAACTATCTCAAGATGTGATTTTTACAAGGACTGTGTTACAGGGAAGCTAAGGATCCAAGTGGCATTAGGAGTTTACTTTTGGATAGGTTATAATTCCAGATATTATCTTTTAAAGATTATGTGTACAGGAGAACAGTGCACATAGTTACCAATTTTGGGAACCAGATAAAGCATTATCTTCTGTCTCCCTTTTTTATTTTAGATTTTAAAAATTACTGGAAAAATAATTGTAAAAAATGCATGATTTCAAATAAATTGATATGTTTAGGTTCATGGGGACTACTTTACTGCACTTTATTTTTTTGTAACAAAAGTGATGTGAGTTATTGTGATAATGAGGGGCTTAATGAAAGCAATTGATTAAATTATTTGTTCAGGCAGTTTCCACCATCTAAGCCTCCATGGTTATTCTGCACACAGAAGGGAAAAAAAAAGGTAGCAAGACATCAGGCAAAAATCCAGAAAAACAAGCAAGGAATATTCTAACAGATTCACAAACAACAGGATATATGTAAATACTGTACTAAAACTTTTCTGTTTGTCCCTTTGATTATGCTCACAGTAAATTGACAACCCTGTATTATTCTGAGGACAAGAGTGTTCTGACTCTTTTTTTTTGTAGCCTGCCTCTAGAACTGTGCACTGAAACCCAACACCTTTTACTTATTTCCCTAGATACTCTAATCCCTCCCTGCTTTACCAGTATCTTTGAGCTGTTCTTCCCTCTGTATCCACAGCAACGTGAATCCCTGCTGGAATTATTTGCTTCTAAAATGCAGGTGCACTTGTTTAATGTTGCACTGGTTCAGTCTCTTAACTTGAAGACTTTTTCACCAAATGGGAACCTCTGCTTTGCCCTGTTTCCTGTCAGGCATTGTTATATTTATTAGCAGTGTGTAAGTCATTCCCTCCCCTGACACCCACTACCTGTTTCCAGAGCCTTGGTTGTTTTTCAGTTATTGAGAGCTTTTAGACAGCAGTAAGGAATCAAAAGCTGCAGTAAATAAACCATCCTTCTGTTAGCCTAGAAATAACAAAGCTCTGTGGAGGAAAGGGGAGGATGGTGTAGAGTGAGCTGGTCCCAGTCCCCCAACCTGTCACCCTGTGGTGACTGTGCCCGGCAGGAGCCGTGGCTGAGCACTCAGCTCCCCTCTAGTGAACACTGTGGATATCTGAATGTGTTGTAAATCCTGGGGTTGGGCATTGCAGCTACAGTTACTTATTGAAAGATTCTGATCATTTTCCCAAGTACCAGCCTGTGCTCAAAGACTGAACAAATGTGGCACTCAGCAGCAGAAGCAGTGTACTCCGTTTGAAGCCAGGACTGCTGTTTGCACCGAGCTGTGCCCGTAGCTGTGCAGCACTGGGAGCACGGGCAGGGCGGGCACCAGCCCCAGGGGCTCTGCATCCTGCCCCCAGCACCAGCACGGCTCGGGGTAGCTCATCCAGGGGGCTTTGTGCCTGGGTTGTTCTCAGTGTAAAGTGGGAATCAAAGATATGACTCATTTCATCCCAGTATGCTAAGGAGATGCTAATCAACATTTTGATGCCTTCGAGATGAATGAATGGGAAACATGAATTAATGTTTGGGGCATATGGGGATGCCATGGGAGCGCTGAGGTAGAAGTAAATCATTAGTTAGTAAATCGTACTGAGTGAAAGCTCTGAATTGAAGCCTCCCGCTCAATGGGGAAGCAGGGAACAAATACCATATGACTGGAGAAATCCTGGAGGAGTGTGTATGGACTCAATAGAGGTAGAGCATCTGCAGAGGAAAATGGTATGTGACCAGATCAATAAAGTGCATCATAGTGCAGTCATGCAAAAGAGGCACATTTATGTTGCCTTGGACCTTTGTTCTGTCATGTTTCTGATGCTTGCTTGCAATGTTTTCATCCTAAATATTGTTAATGTAATTGAAACCTAATGTTATTGTAGCACCTGGGTTTGGAGACCTGTTGGCAAGAGGCCATGCCGTGTGTACAGAGATGACTTGGGCTCCACGCTGAAAGGAAACCTCCTTGCTGCGAGGGCAGGAGGATGTCTGGGGTGTTTGTGTAATTAATCCCAGGTACACTAATTGCCCAGGAGCCCTGCTGTGTAGGTGTGGGGGGTTCCTGTCGAGGCTCTGTGCGTGCCCCGCCGCAGCAGTCCCTGTGTGCAGATGGCATCACTCCACATTCAGCTTCGGGGATCAGCCTCGCTCTCATTTACATGAAGACCATTTTGTATCACTCAGCCAGCATAATGTGGCCATAAATGAAGAGCAAATTCTATTTACACCCACCTCTGCAGAGTGACCTTAATTTAAATGAGAATCAGGCCCATAATCTGTATAAATATATGCACTTTGTTACATTAAGGTTATTTATTACTTTGTGCTCGGCCTGAGTATGCATGGAGATTTACCACAGATAATCCATAATCCAGAATTAAACTATTAATATGCATTTTGAGAGGGGCAGCCATAACCTTGAAATTCCTTGGTTTAAGTATGACCTTTAACTTTGTTTGAATATATTTTTTAAATGTATGAATAACAAATTAACATTGGTTGATAAAAAACATTCTGATTCCTTTGTACCATTTGCATCAGTCCATCCTTAACTTACAGAAAGCCTTGAAGATTAGAAGGCTTAATCACTTGTAATATTTATTTGTTTTTAAATGTCAGATCACATTTAGTTCAACATACTGTTAGTCTTGTCCCCCCCCCCCCAGTGTTACTGAAACTGCAGTGGAAATTGTTCTTCTTGTATCCAGAGACACCTGTATCTGAGCAAAATGACCAAACACTTTGTGCTTGTGCAAAGGAATTGCTTTCTGTATCCTCCTGAACAAGGAGTTCTGTACTGTTCCTTTGACGTGCCCTCTGAATTTCTGGTCCACATGGGGCTGTTTGTTTTTCTTTCCACAGGCCTCGTCTGAAGTTCAACAACCTGACCTTGATTTCAGTTCATGGCCTTCCAGGAAAAGATCCACCAGGCTCCAAGCGTAGAAGATTTTTAATTAACAGGTTTGACTTCACATCTAAACACTTTTGTAGCTCCAGCAGAAAACATAACACCTTGTAATTCTTGTGAACCTGTCCTAAATTTTAGCTAGATCCATAGACAGCCCCAAAATGCTCCAGTCTGTCCGTCCAGCATGCACTCACCTGGAGGAACTGGGTAGAACTATGAGGAGGGAAATAGTGCCAAAGCAGTAACTTCTGGACAGCAATCCACTAGTCTCTACCTTCCAAAGCTTTTTAGGTTGTTTATATCCCAGGTTAAATGACAGAAGACATCTGCTTGCTTTTTAAATCTTACTTGGGTTTTAACTTTCATGGATTTTGTTCCAAATAATGCTGAAGCAAAGAATGTACAGGAATTAATATTAGTAAAATGATCAGTGACTGACTCAGAGCAGGACGTGGTGAGGTGCAGAGCCCACTGATGGTAGAGGGGGAAATTTTTGGATTGTTGCTGTGGATCGGTTTGGCAGAACTGTGTTGCATCAGTTCTGCTCATGGGCTGTGTGTGCCAGTCCCTGGGCTGGGACAGTCTGTCCCCAGTCCCAGCCACAGCGTGGTCCCAGAGCTGGGGCTGCTGTACAGCAGCTGAAGGGAAGATGGTGAGAGCCCTGACTGTGTCTGGGGACTGTCAAACACTGTAAGATATCTTCCATTTCATAGGATAAAATGTTACCTCATTAAAATTCGCAGAACATAATTCTCACTTAAATACACTGATTTTGTTTTGATGGCTTTATTTTTTATTTTGGAATAGCGACTAGAAGTCCTCCCTGTAGACAGGAACATGACTGTTCTGGGCTTTGAGAAGCATGGAATTAAAATGAATCATTTATTCTGAATAGTTGGGGAATGAACTTAGTGTAAGTTATTTAGATTTGTTATGTGACTCTTTGGAGCCTGCACATTGTATTTTACCAAATCTTGTCATCAGTGAGCAACAGTGCACTACAGGGCTGCCTCTTTAAATGACAAAACAACTCCATGTCTGCTTGCTGAACCTTACAAATGAAATCTCTACAAAGATGTGAAAATGATGTGATGGGAACCTGTGTAAAACCACCTGATCTCATTTGGTATTTTGCCCTGCCAAGAAGTTTTTTATAAGTAGTTACCTGAATTAATTTTTTTACTGTAGAAAGAGGTGTGTTCAAGTACAAATCTAGCAAATGAAGGGGTTATATGCTCACATAAATGCATGTACTCTTTTTCCTAAGTGCACTGTAAAAAACAGTTGTACTAACAAAGCAACCTGCCTGAAGGAAAGTTATGGTTCAGAGCTGCCTCACTAGATTTAGCTGTTAAAATCTGAAAGCAGATTAAGAGTGAAAATTAAACTCTGCAGGGTATGATTTCTGAAAGCATCCCTGTGATTTTGGAGTGTCAGTCTCCTGGGAGCTGTGCACCTCAATTATGAAGGTGCTTTTGAAAACCCTCCCCTGTCCTTGATGTCCACCTTATTTATAGATTTCTTCATGATTACAGTTTAGAATTGTCAGTGGTTCTCATTTATTTGCCTCTGGTATCTGTGGGTGCAGAGGATGCAGAGCACCTCAGAAAGCCTGGCAATCCAGGTCATGAAAGCAACTGTGTTTGTTCCTGTGGCATCCTGAATGCCAGCTTTGGGAAGTGGGTAACAAGCTGCTCTGTGTTAGGATGTGCACCCTGGCACTGATGGCAAGGTCACAGCTCCGAGTGCTGCTCTCTGCCCACGCTCTCTGCTGCGGCCACCAGTGCCACAGAAGGGCATCAAACGCTCGAGCACGGGCCCAGCCCCTTGGATTAATCACATTTGGGCTTGTGGCAGAAAGTGGTGCTTGCAGTGTGTGCTCTATGCACACCCTGACCGTCGCAGAGGAATTCAGTTGCATCTTAGAGGCTTTTGGAAGTTTGGGGTAGAGGAACAGTTTAGTATGTTCTCAGAATTTGTTATTCTTGGATTGTGGAGAAGTTCATTTGTAAAAGGGTCACCAACAGGAGTTTTGAGACCTCTGCCTTTTCCTTTTAGCTCTCACAACAATTTTCATAGCTTTCTATTAATTTTTAAACTTTTTGGACTAATACTTTGGAACACAGATGCTAAAATGCCTTCCCTGCATTTGTCTCACCACAACCATGACCGGTGAAGCTGAATAGCAAAGGCAGCAAAAAAGCTGAATGAGAGACTTGTCTTGGAGAAAAAAATGGACCGTTAAAGTATTTTCTTTGCAGGTGCAAAAGCCTCCTCTCATCAGCCTGCAAAGGAAAAGCAGAGTAAAGCATATATTTCTGACTTTGTTCTTAAATTATGTGGTTGTATGGCCCAGTGCTGGGAGGGATTGTTTGGTTTCAGCAGAAAGTTGACAATTTGTAACTGAGTACTTGATAATGACTGGTCTTTTGCCATAGACTGTGGCAAACTCACAGTGAGGGAGCAGGCGGAACCACTGAGGGCTGCGGCCGAGCTCACCAGATGTCTAATTAATGCCTGCTGTCAGCTGCTGAAATGTCACTTACAGATATTCTTTCTTCACAGCCACTGTTTTAATGATGAAGATTATGCACAGATGTCACTTTGTTCCTGGGTTAACGTTGTAGTTGGTAAAATGACTGGCATAAATCGTGCTGCCAAATACGTAGTTGTTTCCGAGGAGAAGAAAGTACCATACGACTACCTAGTGCTGTGCACGGGGCAGAACTACCAGGTGAGGTGGTGTGCAGAGTGCAAACCAGCCCAGCATTCCCAGTGCCTCCAGTGAACAGTGTTCTGGGATCAGCAGAGCAGGCCTTAGCAAGGGTAGCTCCGGGCAGTTTGAGCCCTTCAGTGCAGCGTGTTGGGCTGTGTCGGTGCCGCAGCCAAGCTCAGGGGGGAGGAGGGGTTGGACACAACTCCCCACCAGCAGTGGCACTGCTCAGGACTGGGGACAAAGCAAAGCTGCTGGTGTTTTTGCCACTGCGACCATGAAACCTGCTGAGAGTAGGCCCAGTTGACATGTGGCCCCAGCCACAGGAGACTTAACTCCAGCTGGTCTAATGCCATTTGACCTAGTTTTGGCAGTGGAGAGAATTCCTTATCAAATTAATGGCTTTGTCTCACGTGATGACCATGCCTAGGCATGTCTGTGATGCTGCTTGGTATTGTAGCACACAAGTTGAGTTTGCACTGAGACTGAAGCAGACCCTTAGCTGCATGTAAGATGTGGAATCAAGCTGAACTCCAACCCCAGAGGCTCAGCTTCCCCTCGGACACCACGGGCAGGGCTGGTTCTGGCTCATGTGTCCCCACAGGGCCATCAGGCTGTGTAACCAAACAGGCAGCTTGGCACAACCCTCTTGCTGCAGGACTTTGCCTTGCTGACTGGTTTGGGATAGGAGTTGTGAGCACGGCGTTTTGCCCTTAAAATCAGGAGATGAATCTCAGCATGTGTCTACAGGTTGTACAGTGCTGTGCCATGTCCCACACATGAACATGAGGGTGTTCAGCCCACAGCAGGGTCTGTCTGCATGTGTACAGCAGGCTGGGGGGTTTGTGATCATCTCTCAGGGCAGAACCACACTTAAACAGCAGCCTGTGGTCACTGTTCAGTGGGGATGAAACAAAAGCTGAAGTGTGGGCTGAAAAAGTGCTCCTAGGAAAAGATGTTCGGAGGTAACTCTAACTTGCAAAATAATTTATGGGCAGTAACTGCAGGGGAGGAGAAAGAAAGATAAAGAAAGCAAGTGAAAAGTCAGGGTTTACCTGCCTTTGAGAAGAAATCCCATCATCTATTCTCACTTCTAAGCTCTACAGAAGGACAGGAAGGAATTAGTTTTATTGTCTGGCTTCTGTTTTATTACACAGAGCTCCAGTCCATCCTTTTTTTAAGTTGTCCCTTATTTGGTTAGCAGTCAAATCAATGCCTACTAAAACATTTGTTATGATTTAGAGGATTCTCTTGTTGAGTAAGGTCTTTTGATACCATGCCTGGTTTTATGTGATCCAACCTGATTTCAGTTGATGTGGTTGGCTGTGAGAACACTGCTCAGGATGTGGATCACTGGTGCTGCACAAGTCCTGTATGAGACTCCCTTTTTGCTTTGTGTGATTCAGGTGGAGTTTGTTACTGTAAAGCAGCATTATACAGTGAACATGGTACTGAATCCTGACATTTGAACCATAAAGCAGGTTTTTGCCCCTTTCTCTGGGACAAAATCTCTTATTTTAGAAAGTTGATTTTGCTGAGAAAAAGTGGAGGCAGTCTGAGCTAACAAAGAATCTCCTTTTCAAGTTGTCTGTTAGTCAGAGAACTGCAGAGATCCCTCAGCTGTGTGTTGGGGTATTTCTGCTGTTAACTGTGCAGTCTGTGGTGTTTGCCATGTGCTTCCACTTGTACTGGCGCTGCTGTTTGGAATGGTCACCCACAAGCCATAGAAAACAGGGAATACATGCACAGTGTGTGAACTCAGACCAGCAGGAATCCGTGTTCTGTGGCCACGGGTGTGTTTGCTGCTGCTGAGTGTGAAGGAGGGCTGGGGTGTGCATGGACAGCAACCCGAGGCATTCAAAGTGAGTGTGTCATTGTCTTTTAATGTCTACAAGGTATGTGCCAGATAACCACTTGCTCACCATTTCATCCCTCCCAGGCCCTGGCTCCCACTGGAGCAGATATCAAACTCCTAACTGACAGCCAAGTCATGAGTGAGTGGCCACAGAGATACCTGGGGAAAATCCCTTCCAATCACTTCACTCTCAACGATGACCAGGATTGCTTGCGGGCAGCGCACTGGCTGCAGGAAAACCTGGTCAGCTCCAGAGGTAAGGGGGCTTTAACGTGTGCACACTTACAGAAATGTTTCCTAGGCTTAGTGGTTCCTTAATTCCATGGTATAATTGGTGCCTGATTAATTCTAACGAAGTCTTTCATCTGCTGTGCTTTGTTTTCCAGATTAATTTACAATTTGTTGTCATTTTTGATACCCAGCATATTTAGCTAGGAAAGAAAGGCTTGAGATAGATTAATTATCTGCAGTTATTATATAAAACAAAATGAGTCCTAAATGCAAATCTGACTGGAGTCATTAATTAGCCAATTAAATAATAATTTAATTAGTGGATGTGTTTTTCTGTTATATAGAAAAATACCTAGATTTGTGATGTAACACAAAGAAAACTGGTCTAAATTAGGAAGTCTCTGTCAGCACTGTATTTAGTTGCACTAGTTACAGATTTTCACAGAGAACTGCAATCTCCTGGTATTCTCTTTGTAACTCTTAAAATCAGACATTTGTTTAGACGTCCCCCATCCCTGTACTTCCTCAGCCTTGGTGCATGTACTCTGCTCATGTATTCGTTAGTTCATCCACTGTGTTTGCTGTTGAAAATACCTGGGATCATCCAGGCTTCCCAGTCAGCTTTGAACTGCAGAAACAGAGGCAGGCAGTCAGTGAGTTCATGTTGTGTCAGCTCCTGCCAGCTCTGAGTTAGGACAGTTCAGAGCAGGAAAGCTGTCTGTGGGGAGTTCCTGTCCCAAGGACTGTCCTGAAGATGTGTTTTCTCTCTCCTGAGTGTAATGAGAACTGGCAGTGATGTGGTGTGGTGCCAGGCTCACACCCTGGTGGCATTCCTTTAGGGAAGTGCTGTGGCCAGCCCTGGAGCAGGGCGAGCCCTGACCCCGTGGCTGCTCCTGCAGCTTTGCTGTGAAACCTGGCTGATGCATGGAACCTGGGACAGCTGGAATGGGGACTAACTGAAATCCATCTCCCGTTAGCTCTGCACTTGCCACGAAAATAAAAAGTGGAATGGAAGTAAAGGAAGGAACAAAACTGCTTTAATGGCCCAAAATGGAGCAATTATTTTTTCTCTATACCCAAGCATAGTTTACTGCCTTATTAAAAGCGTGTTTGTAGGAATACTCTCGCATTAAAATTCCAGTGCATGAACCACCTACCGAAGCCACTGATGCTTTAGCTCATACTGGGTTTCTCCTTTAGCTTTTGCAAACTGCAAAGGTTCAGGTCATGCTGGGGGCACCGAAATCTTGTGCTTCCACTTGTGGAAAATGAATGAGTCTTCTCTGCAGCAGGATGCTGACACTCGGGTAATAAATGATAAAACTACTGTAATGATCTTTATTTATGGCTGCTTTTTCAGTGAAAGATTATTATGTTTACTCAGATGCATTTTCATGTAGTTAAATAATAAAAGCATCCTGAGCAACTGCTCTCTGTCCAGTGGACATAATTTCAGTCCATAATGAATATCTGTAGTTCTTAGACTACTAGCACTGTCATCTAAAAAGCCACTAATATTGTAATAAGCAGAAGCAGTAAATTGTTGATTTACAAGAGGTCAGTAAAGGAGCACTGCTTTCCCTGATCTAATGCAGTTGTATTTAATATTACCATATAAAACAGAATTTTAATTTTCCATGACAAATGTGGGGCTTGAATCTGATCTTGTATTTTCCTAAGTGCCAGTGTCTAATGCAGAAACTGAGCTTCCTTCTGAGGGAACTGGTGCTGCCAAATGGCAAATGTGTCTCAGCCCAGCCTTGCCCCAGAGTCAGAATGGAGCTTTGCTGGGCCATGCCTCTGGGAAACCCTCCTCATCCTCCTTTTCCAGCCACTGTAGCCTCTTCAGCTCCTGGTGTTTCATTCCTCACAAATCTAAAGCGTGTAAACATAGCATGAGGCTGTCAGCACCTGCACATCACTTCTTGCCTGCACTCTCAGCGTGTTGAGTTACTGAAAATGAGTGTAGCAAATCTGGTCTTTCACCCCAAGTTCTGCTTCGTTGCTTCTTGCATTGTACCTTGCTGCAGCAGGGAAAAAATGATCAGTTTTATGTCTGTCTTCTCTTTTGGACCTTTCCTGAGGTCAGGACTGCCTGCAGACAGGTGTCCTGGCAGGCACGAGCCATGGAATGGGTTCTGGCTTGGAAAGTCAGCTCAGTGATGAACATATTGGACAGAATTCTCTTGTTCTGTATAATATTTATGGAATTAGTAAGATCTTTCTTCTTATGATTTCAAAGTGATACATTTGCAGGTAAAATTGTTCTGTTCCCCTGGTCATTGCTGTGAACAGTAAAAACATGTTTTCCATAATTTCTGAGCAGTGTACTCATGGGGTGGTTCTGTTCTCTGGCAGCTATGAAGAGAGATGTTTATTTGGCAGCTACAAATAGCTAAACTGATAGGGACAAATAAAATAACCTTGTAATCAAAGGGGAATGGTAGAACATCTGTTAACATTTTTATCATTAATATTCTTGGGAACTTGGGCTGTGTGCATGTTCAGTTTAGTATTGCCCTGTGTCTCATGCAGTAAAATGTGGTCCCAGTGAAATCAGCTTAGCCTGTAAATAATACAATTTATGTATAGGGGGTGCTGTCACTCGTGGCAAGACATAAATGCCAGTGCTGAGATGAATGTGCAAGTTAGTTGCAGCTCTGCCCAGGTATGGGACATTAAAGCACGAGGACTGTGCTTTTGATGCATCCTCGTGCTGGCAGGTCAGATCCTTGTCCTGAGACAGCCAGCATGCAGGAGCTGATGTGGACATTGGCAGGCAGGTAGAGAACTGTTCCTGCCCCGAGGCCCGAGCTTGGGGATGGGGCAGACCTGGCTCAGCCCTCCTGTGCTTGGAATGGGCAGGAGAGGAGTGTGTTTCAGTCCCTGCTCAGAGGAATGCTTGTGTGTTTTATATTAGACCATCCTGAGATAAAACACACAGCTGCTCCGATGCACCCCAGCTCTGCCTCCCTTATCACCAGGAGGGCTTTAGCTGTTAGGCTGGAGAGTCCTGCTGTGCTCACACAGAACAGGACTCTCCCATCCCCATGTATTCCTGCTCAGCTCTGACTGTGCCCTTTGAAGTGGCACCAGTTCAGGACAGGAAGGTGCAAGGCCCTGCCCTGTGGCTCTGCAGTGGCAGGTGGGAGGTGTGTGTTGGGTTGGGTGCCCAGCGTGGGAAGATGGAGCTGGTTTCAGGAGTGGTTTCTGCAGAAGGAGCAGCAGGACCCACACACTGCTGTCCCAGCAGCTGATCATGTCTGTGTCCAGTTTACTGACTTCCAGCATGAGGAGGGATGGAGCCTGGCTGGCTCAGAGCCTGTGTGATGTGAGGGAGGGAGGCACCTCGAGAGAGCGGTGCGGAGCTCTGCCTGCCATGGTGGCAGGACAGGGTACGTCTGCAGGGCTGGCCCCATTCTCTGGAGATTAGGCTTTGGCAGAAAGAAGCTGCAGCACTGATGACCATGTGGCACAAAGGCTTGTTTTCTATAACTTGACCTTTCCACAGTTTGTGGGGTTTTTCTGCATCATGTATTTAATTTGCTCCTGTCTGCTCCCTCCTCCATCAGTCCTTTGAATGAGCAAAATTGAGGAGAGAGAACAAAAAAAATGGTGATTTTTTTTTTTCCCCCCCCCAGAGGCTTTTCAATCAAAATAATTTCAAATTATGGGGTCAGGATGAATGTCATACTTCTGTGTTAAGTACTTGCCTACTTTGTGGGATGTTTTGTACAGATTCTTTACTAAATTATCTTAGCTGCTGTTGCTAGGTAACATTGTTTTCTTCATAGCATCAGAGAAATAAGAGGGTCAAAGAGAGCAATTTCACGTTATTATCATCTGAGTTATCCTAATAAGGTTTTCATTGTATGTCTTAGAAATTTTCCCCCCTTTTTTTCCTCTTAGGGAACGTCATTGTCTATGGGAATACAATTGACATTTACACCACAGTAGAAACCCTCTTATCTCTTGGAATTGATGGTTCTCGCATCCACCTCGTGCAGCCCCCGCTCAGCTCGGATGTTCCCTGTCTCCACGACGCCGAGGTGGAGGGCACTGTCCGGGAGGCCCTGGCACAGGCTGGCGTGGCCCTGCACGGGGACAGTGTCCTGGCACAGTGGGGCGAGGGCAGCGACCCGGAGCTGATCACCTGGGCTGCCTTCACCACTGCCACAACCCCGCTGAAGCTGCAGTGCTCAGTAAGTGTGTGCTTTCAGTGCATCCCCTTCAGACAAAGGCCATCACATTTAGGTAGTCCCTCACTGATTTATCTGTTTCTCATTGTCTCTAGGAGACTGAATGCTCACTTGTTAGTCTCAAGGATTGACTTTCTAAAAATCCAAATAAACCCATCGTTAATGCCCTGACTGATTTGGATTAAAATGTATTTAAGTCACCTGATACACAAGTAGTAGTTTGCTGATGAGTGACAAATACTCTTAATTCATTTTCTAAGTAATTCCAGAAAACCTTTCCTTATTTAAATGTGTGCAGTTACTCCTGTCTATGTGCACTTGATTAAGTCACAGTAGAAGCCAAAAACATTAGCATAGAGAGACCTACTATGTAACTTAATGAAATGTATTTTAGCAGATTTCTCTCCCTTTACATCAATGACTGCAGTTCTGTTCAGCTCCAGTACTGATATCTTAGGTGTAGGCACACTCACAGGTGTGGCTCTGCTCTGAGGCTGGGGACAAGTTTTAGCTGTTCCTAAAGGTCAGGATTGTTCTGTTTTCCTTTACTGGGCTAATCCACAGGAGCGAGCACTTCTGATGGTCACTTCAGAACCTCCCTCCATGGGATGCTGCCGTTCTGCCCTGCACACCCCGCTGTGTGCCCACTCCTTTGTGCAGGAGCGGCTGTCACTGTGGGAAGGACAAGCTGTGTGCCTCTCCCAAAGAGCTCCCCAGGTGTTGGGGTCCCTGCTGGCTCTCCTGCACTGCAGCCCTTCTCTTTTTAGCATAGGGATAGTTGAGCCCTTCATCGTGGGGGTGAAGACCTCCCACAGCACTTTTACCCATAGCGGTCTCCTGACTTTGGTCTCCGTGTCAGTAGTGACATTTCTCCCACTCTTCTCATATGCAGCTCTTGAAGATCTCTCTTCTTTCCCTGAAACTCCTCCATTTTTATCATTCTTCCACAGATATCTCGATGTGGTTTTCATTCTTGCAACTTGGTATTCATTCACCACCTCCCCACCAGCCCCCCCTCTTTTCCCCACCACCTGGTCCATGTGGCTGTTCCCTTAAACCTCCCTTGCCTTGGGCTTTGCTTCTCTTGCCCATTTGTGTCCCTGCTCGTTCTTCTTCCAGCCATGGTCCTTCCCTCTCAAGATCTCTCTTTTCCAGCCTCTAAGATGGGAGATGTTTAATTACTTGTGATGTCAGGGGCTTTATATTCTCCAAGACCAGTTCAGCTGCCTTGCAAGGCTTGAGCTGCCTGGGAGGCCGGGCTCAGGGGATGCCAGGCTCGGGAGAGCAGCCTCTGCCAGGAGGGCAGCTGTGCTCACCAGAGACCAGGCTGTGCAGGAATCGGCACTGCAGCAGCCCTGGGCCTTTTGGGATTTGAGCCAGTATCAGCTGTTGATTGGCAGTTCTTGGGGGCTTAATTTGTTGAGTCCTGCAGGATAAAAACAACAGGAGAAAATCTCCTCTTTCCCTAAAGCAGCAGCCTCCCTCCCTCCTGCCTGGGCTGACAGATGGCTCCCAGCCTGGAGGTTGCAGCCCTCCCCTCCCCTCCGGTGACACCGTCCTGCCTGTCAGCCAGCAGAACATGGGGCTGTGTGGTCCCCTTGCCCTAATGGGCAGAGCTTCCCTGATTTTGCTCTCCTAGATGTTCAGAATTCCCTTAGCTGTGCATAGTTCATCACTTGGTTTATCTACAAACAAGCCCAGGGGCTCTGGCTCCTCTGCTGCTGCATCTCTGCTGTGCCAGTGTTGCTAGAATTTCCAACTCCCTTTGCTTCCCTCTCCTGTGCCTTCTCTTCCAGCTGGCTCATCCAGCCAGCTGTGAGCATGTGACACTTTACTTAGTCCCCAGGAAAGCTCTTTGGGGGTACAACTGGGTAACACCTTTACCAAGGTCACAGCTGTGTCCTCCCTAAGATGGCACTAAGGGAAGGACAGATTATGGATGCTGCTTTGTCCTGACACAGTTATGTCTTGGGCTATTGAGGATGAAAGCAGCAAGGGAATGCATACTTCCCTTTCCTCAGCCTGTACAGGAATATTTCTTGATGGGGGACAGCAACCTGTGACTTGTCATCTAATGATTTTAAAAGCTGAGAGCACTAATGGGGAAAGCTCTGTGTGAGGGCTCTGGAGCTTCACAAACTCTGTTGTAGTGATGGTCAGTCTTCATCCGTGCCCTTTGCAGAGCACGGTCTTATTCAAAACATCTCTCAGCCTTGTTGTTCTTGTTCCTTTTAACCCTCAGTGTCCAGTGTGCACCCTTGTTTTACACTTGCTTGGGGCCCATGTTTTGCCAGCCTGGCACGAGGCAGCTTTGAGGACACTGCTCGTAGTTGTAGCTTCTCCCACATCTGCTCTCACGGCGCTCTGGTGGAGGTGAGGGTGGTGCTGGCTTTCAAAGCTGCTCCTCAGGCACGGTCCCTGTCCAGGGCTGTGCTTGCCTGTGCATCTGTTCCACTCCAGGGCTGCTCCAGCACCACCTGCTCTGTACTGCTGGTCACAGGGCTCCTCTCTGGGGGAGGTGGGGTCTGTCTGATCTGCTTCCTGGTGTCCCAGGAGAGCCACTGTGCAGGTGTCACAAGAAGACAAAAGGAGGGAATTATCACTAGCTTTTTTTCTTTGAGACTCAAAAGAGAGATTTAAGGTGATTTTCTTTAAATGTCCTTGAAATATTCCTGTGGGGAAGATGAGCTTGTGACTTCAGTAGCTGCTGGTCCCAAGATAATTCCCTACCTCAGGGCCAGGACTGTAAGGTTGCCTGAGACAGTACAGGCCATCTTTTCAAAGAGTGGAAGTCCCACCTTTTTCAGTCTCACAAAACAAAACATACCAAATAGGTATCTGCTGTGCTCATTACCAGCCTCAGCAGCTGACTGCCAAATGTACCAGATAGTTTCCCTGCAGACACAGCCTCCTCTGGGCTGACCTGGGTGATCTGGGTGGATCTGATGGACAGCCAGCCTAGTGCCTGGCCTTAGAGAGTACAGCAGTCCCATGCTTTAGGGAGGTACAGGTCAGCCTGCCTCCTAAAGCAAAGATGATTCAGGTCTGGAGTAGTTAGAGAGGTGTTTCAGTCCTGACAAAATTTGGATATGCTTTCCAAAATCTATGACACTGTCAAAATAACAAACCTGGAAGCTTTCCTGTTCCTGTGAATGTTCAGTCCTCTTGCACTTCTCACAACCTCCTTGGCCTCTGCAGCTTCCACTGGCTGAAATTATGCTGCTGTAGTTGGAATGAGGATGACATTTCTAATTTCTGATCTTTCCATTTCATTGGCTGTCCCTGTGCTGGCAGCCAGAGTAACTCAGTTTGTTGGTAAACAGGCTCAACAGTTGAGAAAACATTTGTAATACACAGTTATCCTGCTGAAGGCAAAGTACACTGTGCTTTTCTATTCCTTGGGGTTTCAGGTGGGCTTGAGCATTTGAAAGAAGCCAACCAACTTCATAGAGGGTTCAGGTCTATGTCCTGTGCTTGTACTAACAGAAAATACACATGGCCACTCACAGTAGTTTCACATATGGTGAACATTGGAGCTTTTAAAATAAAACTCATCTAATAACCAGAAGCAGATGAGTCTAGTTTGGTAATTCTCCTTTCTACTATCTTTGTTTTAATTTTGGTAGCAGAAGGATCTATCTGTGTATATAAAATCATACTATATTTTCTATTCTTTTTTTTTTAAATAAATAACATTCAGAACAAAGTGTGGGTTTTGATTTATGAAATTAGCCAGTAAATAATATATAATATAATCTACAATTATTTATATCTCTTTTTAGGCATTTTTTAGCTTTGCCTACAGGGCAGTGGATTATGAAACCTTTAAGGCAGTCAATGATGCTTGCCTTGTTTTTGATGGAAAGCTTGTGATTGATGCCGAATTCTGCACCAATGATGTCAGCATCAGGGCTGCAGGTCCTCTAACAAAGTTCTCCAGGAGATACTGTAAAGATGAATGGACACACAGCAACTTCAACTCCAGAGAGATTGGCTTTGAGCTTGCTGCCTCCATGCTGAGTCTCTTTGATCCAACCCTTCAGCCCCATTCTGAGCCACCAGAAGGCCCAGACAGACTCATCCCCATGTACAAAGGATGTAAAGTTAAAGGTATGTCCCACTGGATTTGTCCCACTTTCCTCCCCTGTTCTGTAATACAGGCAGGTCCATCTCACCTCAGGTGCCATCTCATGGCAGAACAGCCCTCAAAGCTCCTTATGTAGTGGAAAAAGATGACAGCAGAAGGAGGGCAAACAAATACTTTATTTTCTTCATTGCTTATGACTTAATAAACCTCATTTTCATTTTTGGCAGGAGGTGTTCTTCCCGGAGGTTATAACTACTTACACGTTTCCAAACCAGCAGTTCCCACCCTCTTGGACACAGAACTTGCCCAGTGTGACCACGTAAGTTAAATAACGGAACTCCTTTGGTTCGTCCTCTGTTTGGAAGGAGGTTCCTGGTTAGGGCAGTGCAGTACCTGCCCGAGTACCCTGAACTGTAACCAAGTACCTTGAGAAGTGGGGGTTGATGTGTCTGTGGCAGTTCCCAGCACAAAGTGAACGTGTGGCACGTGGGGGGGTGCTGTGTTTGCCATCAGGTGGGGTTAGAAGTGGTCCAGTCAGCTGAGCCTGCATGCTCTGCATACACCAGGTACAGCTGCTGAACCAGGGGGAGTGACAGACCTCTCTGAACCTCTCAGGGGTTTGTTTCCACGCTTCCTGACATTTGGCTTTCTTCAATGATGCCCAATTTCTATGCACAGGACATAAGACAGTATTAGCTGGATTTGGTGCTTTCAGCCTTAGTGCTGAGCCTCTTTCCTCCCTGCAGTATGGTGCTGGAAATGCACACAGATGATAAAACTTGGCAGCTTATCAGGGAAATTCAGTTGGTTTCTAGAATAGTAGGAATTATTCTGGAAGAGGTGCTCTGTGCTTCACTGCTAGGAAATAGTGAGTCCTGCAGCCATGAGGGTTCTCTTGGAACAGGGAAGGGGAAACCACTTCACACATTGGGCTACATGGGAGGTTGTCCCAGGATACAGACATGGAGACACTTCTCTTACTGGAGAACTGACTTGTGAGACAAGAAAAGGACTAGATAAGTGTCTTTTAAAAGCCAGAGAGGACCATCCAGCTAGGCAAGCTCCTGTTTCACATAGACTGTACCTTTTACCTCAGGGATTTCTGTATCAAGCCCATTCTTGCAGTTGATTTAAAGAGCAGCTTTTAAAAGGCTACTTCAGTGTTCACTTTAAAACTTGGACAGTGGTGGTCCATAGAAAGAAGTTGGATTTTAAAAAGAAATCCATGGTTTTGGGGAGGAATCAAAGCACGGTTCACCTTGTTTTCCAGATCCAGGATGAACCATCCAAAGCAGGATGTGCTGGAAAACTGAAAGGACCATCAGAGAGAGAAATTGGTTTTGTTACTCCAAATTGCTAGAACACGATTAGAATTCTTTTGCTGCTGCTTTGATTACCTGAAAAGGGACCATCTTTAAAGCCACTCTAGAAACTTCATGTACATCCTAAAAGAATATTCTAAGGAAGAAGTAAGAGAAGCTAGTGGAAAGTATTAGCTGAGATGTGGAAGTACCAAAGGTTCCTGTAGCCTAGCAACAGGTTGTAGAAATGTATAAAACTGGAACAGGAATACAGCCTGAAAAAACAGCTTCAAGCTATGTGATCATCCCACTGCAATGGCAGGTTTGAAGCAAATTTTTACATTTTTGTCTTCAAAGTGATTGATTTAAGTGGCTGAAGCTAAATGCTACAGTTTGAGCATCAACATTCAACAGTGTTACTTTATTGACAGTAGAGTTGGTGTTGGCAACACATGGCAACCCCAGTTCAAATTAGCAAGAGTTGGGTGTGAGCAATTTAAATCCTATATAGATGTGTGTGTTTGTGTGTATAAACACACATATACATATGTAAGTAAGTACATGCATATATGTTCTTTGATATTCACTATTTAATGGTCTAGAACATGGCCTGAAGGAAGCCAGTGCAGCCTCCTGTAGATGCAGCCCCACCTGTACATAGGGCTGTTTATGTAGTGTATAGGGTTGCTCTGGGACTGAGCAGGAGCCTTCTGGGTATTTCTCTCCTTGCTGGAAAGCTGTTCCAGCACATCCCACCCCTGACTACTGGGAAACGTGTTACACAAAGCCAGAAATGCTTCATTGGAATGTGATAAATCTGGGTTGCAGCACTGGAGTTCACCTGGACCTGGTTAATGTGGCAGTGTCAGCCTCTGCCTGCAGTCATGCAGCTTTTACCACATGCCATGAATTTGGACTCTGCACTTGCACTGTTTGCATATACACATATTTACATGTATAAAAATACAGATGGGGAGTTATAAATCTGGAGAGAGAGTAAAAGCCTGCTGGTGTGTCTTCATTCCTCAGGATGGGATCCTCAGTAAAGCAGGATGTGCCATGTGTGTGCTCTGTCATAACTGAGGCTGAACAGAGTTCAATTGAGTTGCCCCAACAGAGGCATGCAGTATTGTTTGGGCTCCCCCACGGCATCCCTCCTGACTCCAGCTGCTGCTCCAGGAGGTCACAGGTCCCTGTGGATCTGGTGTCACTGCCAGTGCAGCCGGAGGGCCCAGATGCCCTCAGGTGTCTGCAGTGGCTCTCAGCCCGTGCTGCACAGTTGGGTGGGCAGTTAATCAAGGTCTAAACCACACAGGAAAATCTATGTCCAAGCCACAGCAAAGTACCTTATAACCCACAGTGCAAAGAATGGTCCCTTGATTTAACAAAAAGGGCTGTGTGTTTTAGGAAGTGGTAACTGTGGGCTGGGAACCCCTCGCTGACCCTGTACATGTGCCAGGTCAGGTGTTCCTTTCACCTCTACAGCTCTCCTGGTGTTCTCTCTTGCAGGGGACGGAGATAATAACTGGAGAGGCAGGACAGGGGAACTACTTCAGGATGCACTTCAGCAGGTACAAGATGGTGGATGGCATCACCTGCTTTTCCAAGGAACCCTTCCCTGTCTCCAACTACCTGTGCTTGTACGGACAGCACGAGCGGCTGCTGAACGACCTGTTCTACCGCTGGAGGGCCGGGCAGATCACAGACCTGTACAGGTGAGGGGAACTCTGCCTCGTGCAGGAAACCTTAGTATGATTTGTCTTCTGGATGTTTTCCTGTGGAACAAGAGGTAGATGAAGAGACTTAAAAACGTTTTCCATTATTTATCAAAATTATCAGTAGTAGTGCAAGTCCTGAAGACCTTCCTGGAAAGAGCTGTGTGCCTGATTTATTGAGAGGAGGAGCAATGGTTTACTTGACCATCTTTCATCTGAAAGAGCATTTTGGTGTCTTTACCACTGTTGTTTAGAATACTTGGCAGGCTTAATCATTCAGCTGAACCTGAACAGTCCTTTATTACTGTAGATTCATGTTCAGAAGTCGCTTTTTAAAAGTATTTTTGTCACATTAAATCAAATTTTTAAGCCAGAGATTTCCAGGGAGATTTTAAATTGCTCCTGGTGATAGCCACACTGAATAACTTGACTGCTTTTATCTGGTGGTAAACCCTAAAGTTTATCCTTTAGACCTTGTGCTCTGTAGGAGGGAGTTACTGTAACTTAATGTTAGAGCTGGAGGCTGTGTCAGGACTCTTGTTGGTGGCAGCACTGCAGCAGAGAGACAGCTCTGGCAGAGTTTGAGGTGCCTTAGCAAGCACAGGGCAGTGCCTGTGCCTGGAGGCAGGTATTCCCAGGCAGGTCTCCCAAGGGAGACTGAAGAGCATGGCTAGTTCTAGCCAAGGGCTGTGTGCTGTCTCCTGCAGAGAGGAGAATTTTTCATTGCTTTGATTTTTGTTTTAAGAAATCCTTCACAAATGGTGCTTGGGAATGTAAACTGTCACACACAGAGAAGTGAAGTACTGCCTTACATCAGCTGGGTAGGACAGAAAGCCAAGCTCAGGAACCAAATGGCCAGGTTTTATCATGATACAAAGCTGATAGTGGTGCCTCAAAAGTCTGCAGATCTGATTTTGTCATATTTATAACTGGGAGAAAGGCACAAATGGTAGCAAAATTTTCAGATTCAACGTTGTTATTTAGGTAAAAGTTTGCTGTAAAGGATGTGCTGTGGTCCTGGAGAGGCTTGGGAATTATTGCTGGTATAGGGCTTGATTTTGATTTATAACAAATGTTGGGTTTGTTTTACAAAAGAGGAATGGGACACAGCAAACATGAAGTTCCCCTGAACGGCACATGGCCAGTAGGAGGACCTGAAGGAGGGAGACACAAGTGTGTGAGATATGGGCTAAGACAACATATTTTCTTTCCTTGTCACGGCTGATGCTGATCAGCTCATACATTTGGAGCATTGGAGGGAACTCATTCAGGTTGTGGCGAGGTACCAGTAGTCCTTTTTCTGGCATTGCAATGTGCATGTGCAGCTGTGAGCTCATCTGTTGTGTGAACCAGACACTGAGGCCGTGGTTGTTTGCCCAGATGTGGTTACAGTGTCTGTTGTTAGATGTACCAGCAAGTTTCACACCAGTAGCAACATCTGGAAGAATAAATCATCTTGCTTTGGGATTTCTGCCTGCAGCACAGGTAGCAGTATTTTCCTAACCTTGATCAAACTAGCATATTTTCCCTTTCTTTCCCTTGTTGCACGTTGGGCACATAGCCCAGCCTGAGGATCTCAGTGCAGCTCACTCACCTGCTTCCCTGACAGCTGCACTCAGGTCTGGAAGAGAGGAGATGTGAACTTTCTGAACACACAGCTTATTTCTTCTTCAGAGAAATAAGAATGGGTTAGCCTTCCTTGTGCTCGTGATCCCGATGGGATCACACACAGGGCACAAGCTGATCAGGGGATTACAAAGTAAGGTCAAGTTCTAAACATCCACAGAGACTGTAAAAATCTCAGGAGAGGTGAAGATCCCAGTGATGATCTGTTAATAGGATGTTGGGCCAGGCAGCACTGTAAGAGTGAGAGGAGCAGCTTTACCTGATGGCAGCACATACACTCACTGGAGAGTCACTTGCTCCTGTAAGACTGGGGGTGTCTTCCCTGCTCTGTGCTCACCAGGGCCCTGAGCTGTGCATGGTTGGGGTCCTCTCACACCCCCTGCCACAGGCCCCGGGACCTGAGAGGCCGGTGCTCTGCCCAGGGTCACTGGTGTGCTGCACAGAGGGGCACCACGTAGCAGGACATCATCACATCTCTTGAGTTCTCCCTAATTAGTCATGATGAACTAATTTTGGACTTGTCTTTTACAGCCTTTAGACAGGGATGTTGTTTGGGACCTTTTGCCTCTTTATTTTATCTCACCTCTTATTAGCCTGTGGCAAAATTCCTGAATTACAGTTGCCAGGTTTTTCTTATCTGGTTATTTTATTGCCTCCCATGGTTTTTAGTCTTCTTTATACCTTATCTTTAGATAGGTTTGTTCCTTCTCTTCTTGCTCTTTGGTCATGTGTATGAAATCCCATATGTTGCTCCTCAGCAATGAACATATGCTGCTCTTTAATCACCTTGCTCATGTGGTTCTTGTGGTGCTCTCACACACGTGTTCCTGCTCATCCCAGGCTTGGTGATCCTGTTGCACATGTCCATCCTGTGAGGAGGGTACATTCTCCAGCAGGTGTAGCAGGTGGGAGACCGAAAAGCAAAGGGAATCCTTTGCAGGCAGCCAAGGCAGAGGGCAAGGACAGATGAGAAAACGGAGGGGAGGAAGCAAATTGCTCCTGAAAGCAGCAAATTCCTGTGCTGCTCTCAGGAGGGGTTAGAGCAGCAGAAGAAGGCTGGCAATATAATGTACTCTCATAATATATCACATCTACAATACATATACATCTGCACATTGCAGTGCACCATACAATGTACATATATATGTGTGCAGTGTACAGTAGACAGTGTTAGAACTGAGCCAGGACAAGACTGGTTATTAGAAAACTGATACACTGAAAAACAGTTTAGCAGCTCTTGTGAGATGAAGATTGTCTTGAGACTCTTATGTGGATAAAAAGTGGTGCCTGGTTGACTTTTGGTTACTGGTTTCTATGTGTGTGATCAAAAAAAACCCAGCTGTTTTGGGCATCGTTCACATGGTCTGTGAGGACCCTGCATGAGCACAAACCTGAGGTTAGGACTGAATTTCTTTTTTTGAAAAAAATGCTTCTAAGCTAGTACATGTTAAATCTTCTAGCAAGATGTGAAGGACCCTTAGTGAAAAGAATGTAGACTGTGAAAATTTGATTTGTTAGTTAAGCTTGTAAACTTGATGGTTTGAAGCATCCGTTCTTTATGCCTCCCTTCTTTATGCCTCAGTTTTGTGGAGGGCCTTCCTGTGAGGCAAGAAAGTGCAGTGTTTTAATCTTTTGGTCTGTACTTAGATTTCCCAGCATGGCATCTCATTCCAGAAATGGACACAGAGGAACAGCTGTCACCTGGGAGCTAATTTATTTCTGTGTAGCATGCAAATTATCTTTTAAATAATTAGAGACTGCACCTAGCAGTGAATTTCCTCACTGATTTGTGTTCGGTATAAGAGCTGAAAGTTAACCCCCTGGTACTGGATTTCCTGACCAGACTGTGCCAGTGCCATTCTCAAATTAGCATTAACAACAGGCCCTGGAGATCCAGCAAACCTGACAAAGTCTCCCCTTCTGGCTATGTGCCTGGAGCTGGGGCTAACGGCAATAATGAGAGAAATAACATTTCCTTTGGTCTGCAGAAAAGTTCCATTGATTTTGGTATGCCTTTAACGGGAATAAAAGCTGCAGGACTTGACCCACAACCAGAGGAAAGATTGGTCACTGCTCTGCCTCCTCCCCTCAGTCCCTGGGCTCTGGAGGAGGTGAAGCAGGGCAGTGGACACACAGCACCCAGGGCTCCACTGGTCCTGCTACCCCAGCCCAGTTTCACGGGGGGAAAGGAAACCATAGCCCCTGGATATGCCAGATGTGCCCCCAGTCACACTGTGACTGATGTGTGTGTTCCACCTGATGCCCTTTCAGACTTTAGGTTCATGCATGTCTCAGCCTCACAAGCAGGATCAGGAAAAGCCAGCATGGAATCAGCTGTCCCTGGGCTTCACAGTGCACCAACACATGGGCCAGAGTAAGCTTTCGTGGGTCAGACACTCCCACTCTGTTACACTGTGTTCACAGCTCATCAAAAGCCTCAAATGCTTTGGAATGGATTTATTTATTTTTTTTCATGGAAACAATGCTTCCAGCTCTCATAGTTAAACCAGCCAACACTGTATCTCATGCGTTGAAATAGTTTTAAATTTTCTTTTCCTTTCTCCTCCTTCAGCAGACAGGCACTGTGGATGTTTTTAAAGGAGGTCTTGGTGCAGCTCTCAACTGCACAGTTGATATAACTGCTCCTCAGAAGGTCTTAGCTGGGATCCCAGTGGTACAGACATTAATTAATGTAGTAACAACAGGTATTGGTCTCTCTCAAAAATAATTGCCTGTGGCTGAGCTTCTGCAGCTGTATTTGGGCCTGATTCTCACAGGTGTCAGGTGTTCCAGCATCACTCAGAGGCACCTGGGGGTGGCTCAGTTCAGCACTTGGCTAGACCTGGGTTTAAGGGGCCATGCTTTTGTTTCTACCTGTGCAAACAAGAGCTGAGGAAATGGGCTGTAGAGCCAGAAGAGGACCACGTGTGGTCAGACAGCTGTCTCTTCCAACTGCCCCGCAGTGGGATGCACTGCATCCCTCTGGATGTTTTACAGGATGCCAAGGTCTGCTGGGCAGGTTGCAGGGCCTTGGACAGGCAGTATTTACTGACCAGAAAAGTCTCATCTTCATGTGTCCTTGGGCTACAAGAAAAAGGGCCCATTGTCCTAGTGATGGTCTCCCTTCCATGTGCCTCGTGCCAGGCAGTGGGTGTTCTCCCTCCACCTGGGCCTGCAGCCAGTATGGTCCTGAGCAGAGAGGCCTTACAGTGCAGTTATGCCATGCCAGGGCAGGAAAAACCCTAGGAACCAAAGGCACAGTATCCAAAACCTGAGGAGTTTTGTATACAAACCTTTTGCCACCTGTGAGATGAGCAGCATTACTCCCTAGATTTGGAATCCACTTCAGGAAGGAGTTTCTGTAATTTTTATTT